TGTAGTGTTTTCACGTTAGTAGAAAGGAAACACTATTATTGAAGTCACTGGTTTATTATCGCCGAAGTGCTACAGGTGACGGTCCAGCTCAGACTGGCCTCTCGGACACATAACAGTCACGTGGTAAGCTAACGTACCGACAGGTGGCGCTGGTCTACATACATCTCTGGCAGACCCCTGGTGGGTATGCAACCCTTACAACCTAGGTGTTCGGCGGGACACCACACTATTCCTTCTGAGTGTGGGGCTCTAGTCAGTTTGCACCCAATAGCTCATTGGAGTGTCTGCCTGGCCTGAAACTGTTGCAAAAGATTTGTGATCAGTGATCCAGATGCGCTCACCTTGTGAAAGCTCTGGTAAAGGACGAGCCTTGAGGCGGGCGTTGAATATGCAAGTTCTTGCTTTGCCTGCCGCTCTTTCCTTTGACTCTTAAACTTCTCTAGGGAAGGCCAGACCGGCAGTAACTTCTCCTCTAGTTAGGGCAATGTGGTACGGAGACTTTGCCCCATTTACAATTGGCTAGGGCTGAGGCCTTCTTCCATAGGTGCAAAATCTTCTTGAACTCTTTCACTGCTGCCTCTGCTTTTCCATTGCTCCATGGTGCTTTGGGACTGCTAGTCACGTGCTGGAAACCACAGATGGAGGCAAAATTACTAAAAGCAAATGAGTTGAAAGGTGGACCATTATCTGACGTAACTACAGCTGGAATTCCATGTCGGCCAAAAATTTCAATTAGCTTATGGATGACATCTTCTGCGGATGTAGAGGTTGTTTCTGCTACTTCAATGTATGCTGAGAAATAATAATCCACTACCACGATAAATTTGCGTCTGCCCCTCTCAGCAAAATCCATTCCGACTGTGTGCCACGGTCGCTCAGGCATTTCAGAGGAAACCAGCGGTTCTGGTGCATTCTTCCTGTGCATTTTACAAATTGTACAGTTATCAAAGTATTCGGCAATTACTTTGCTAATACCTGGCCACCAGACCGTGTCGTGGGCTCGTCCTCTGCACTTGTTGGCGCCTAGGTGCCCTTGGTGTAGCTCCACCATGATTGACTTCTGCATTTCCACTGGAATAAAAAACCGTTTGGGATACATTACTGTTCCTTTCAGGATGTTGAGCATACCGCTATACTGGTGGAATGGTTTAAGTTCGACAGGAAGCTGCTGGGGGTCCTCTGGCCATCCACGGAGAATTGCTTCACGGAGCAGTTTGCATGTGGAGTTTCTGTCTTGAGCTTCTTTGATGGAATTCCACATTTTGGCTGATGAAGGGATTTCAGCAGCCGCTGCTTCCTCGAGCTTGATTTCAGAAATGATATCAGGTGCACCCGCGTTCCTGTCAGAAGGCATTCTAGACAGAGTATCAGCAGCATGCATAGTTTTACCAGGTACATGGTGTATGACATATCGGAATGGCACTAATCTCATACGAAATCTCTGGAGGCGTGTGGAAAGCTCACTGATGGGTTTGTATCTTTAAATTGAAAGCAAAGGTTTGTGGTCTGTGCACATACACAGTTTAAATTTTGGAAGACCAATTAGGTATGCCCCTAGCTTTTCGCATGCCCAAGTTGCAGCTAGTGCTTCTTTTTCAATTTGGGCATACCTCGACTCTACTACATCTGAGAGTACTTAAGAAACGAAAGGAACTGGTTTCCACTCACCCATTCGTTGTTGCCGAAGACAACCTAGGCCATATCCTGATGCATCTGCTGTGACTCGTGTGGGGAGTTTGGGATTAAACAGCGCCAGAGATTGAGCTGATGACAGTGCTTTCCTAGCCTCTTCAAAACTCTTTAGTTGTGCTGCTGTCCACTTCATTTCTTCTCCCCTGCCAACAAATCATTAATTGGTTTGAGTAACTGCGATGAACTTGGTACAAACTTTAAATGGTGTCTTGCACTAGAGAGAAAGGACCTGACGGCTGTCTCGTCCTTTGGGATAGGCATATCAAGGACATCCTGTATCTTTGCTTCTCCAGGCTTTATGCCAGCTGCAGAGACACGTTGACCCAGGAAGCTGCACTCTGTAACTCAAAATTGACATTTATTTTTGTTGAGAGTAATGCCTGCTGCCTTGTATGTTTGGAGAACTTTAAGCAGACGCTGGTCGTGCTCCTCTCTGTCTCTGCCCCGTACTAGATCATCGTCAACATGGTTAATTTCACCTGCCAGTCCCTGCAGTGCTCTGACTTTTCTACTTTTGTACAGATTTTAATCCCATAGGCATCCTTTTCCATTGGAATCGACTAAAAGGAGTGATGAATGTGGTAAGGTGCCTACACTCTGGCTTTAATTGGACTTGCCAATAGACCCACTTTGCATCCAGCTTGCTAAATAGTTAAGCTCTTCTTTCATGGTTCCATAGTTGCACCGTTCCCCCATGCTATACAATTCAGCAATGACACCATTCACTGGTTCCCCGGCCTGTTGACATCTTTGGTTAAACCTTGCTCTCTCGTAGACGACGTTGATTTTACCCCCGAAGGGTATGGTGAACTTTTTGATAAGGGTACCGACGCAGTCGTTCTTCTCTGGTGGGATGAACTCTAAGGATTTCATGATGTCTTCAGCTTTGTCCCCCATGAGGTAAATGAGAAAATCGAGTTGCCCTTCTGCATCGTACTTATCGAGCCCTGACAGACGACGGAACCGTTGAAAACGCCGGCTCCATGATGGCCAATCCGACGGTGTCCAGTCCTATGGGTCCGGGTCGGGGTCGGGTGGCATTGCAAGGGCAGTTCAACAGTTGCTTTGCAGACTTTACTCAAGCATTGACCAGTAGCAGCAATCATCTCATCTGTACACAGGCTTACGCGAGTGGTTGGCCCCCTCGTCTTCGACGCTCTGCAAGAGAGCACCGAGCTCCTCAAAGATGTGGACATGACTAGTCACCAATTGCGATAATTTTTCTCATTTAATGTACACCTGTATTTTTTTTTATTTTTTTTTTTGATGTTCTGTAAAAAGTTTAGTGGTTGTTTCCAGCATCGACTTGTACATTTTCCTGTATGCCCTTGTGTATATTATCTTAACTGTTCATTTTCTCATTCTGTTTTTAAGCAAAATGTCTTCTTTTTGTCCCTCTCTTTTCGGGGAGGGTGGTGGAATGTGGTACAGCCATACTATTTCATTTCAAATAGTTATATTTCCCGCGCGGCCGCTAGGAGCACTGTGCTCACCTCTACCCAGTTCTTGTCTGTTTTCTGTCCTGTCGCCCTTCCGGCTCCGTTGTTAGTCAGTTCGTCTCCTGATGTGTGTTAGTCGTGTGTCGACTTAAGATATTATGCGTGTGTTGCCATTACCTGACTGTGTGTCATTATTTATATCGGTGTGTCCGTAGTCGAAATTCTGTGTCAGAGACAATTTTACTTTGGTTTAGTGTCACTTTTTCCCTGTGTTTTGTGTGCCTTGTCGTTATTTTGGACTTCATTAAACAAAGTCAGCTGGAACTTATAGACCATCCTTTCACACATCCCTGGACGTCTCTTTGAACTATCGTGCCACCACAGAAATGAATTTGGAAAATTATCTGCAGTCACATTGTGTGATTCAAATTGATTTAAATATGGATGGGCTGCCACTGTCAAAAGATTAAAAAAAAAAAAAAATGGCCTATACTAGGAAAATTGGTGGGGTCAGAAGATGATCCATTCATCATTGGCATTTACTGTAGAAACAAGGATCCAAGTGACATTGATTTATATTTGGGTGAGCTTGTTGTCGAGCTATCAGACCTCATGAACAACGGTTATAATTAGAACCGTCAAAACTATCCCTTCAAAATAAGAAACTGTATACTTTATGCACCTGCTCGATCGCTTCTCAAGTGTTCCATAGGACACGGGGGATATGGAGCATGAGAGAAGTGCAATGTGCATGGTGATTACGCAGCAGGCAGGGTCCATTTTGCTGATGTTGGGCCTGAGGTCACTGCCCGAACTGATCAGACTATTACAGATGGAGACGATCGACTTCACCATTCTGGCCGCTCCCCTCTCTTGTTGATTGAGCCTATTGAGATTGGGCTTGTATCCGAGTCCCGTTTGGACACTATGCATCTTTTGTATAAAGGAGTCTTCAGCTGTGTACTTGATGCAATTCTTACATGGAAGGGGCCGTGGAACATGCCTCTTAATTCGATTCAGGAAATATCACAGCAACTTTATTGGAAGTCATCGTGTCCCAGTGATTTCAATAGAAAGCCTAGACAGCTCGAAGTCTGGTGCAAGTACAAGGCAACAGAATTGAGGCGATTACTCTTGTATGATGCTGTGGTTGCATTTCATGGCAAGTTTCATGAAAATGGGTACAAATTATTACTACTCCTTCATTGTGCTGTTTATATTCTTGCCAGTCCATATCTGTTGCCTCGACTCTGTGATAATGGTGAAATCTTTTTGAGGACATTTGTGGAGTATTCTGCTCAAATATTTGGTCCCCACTTTTTCAGCTACGATGTCCTTGCTGATGAGTGTACGGCACATCGGACTCTGGAGGAATTCAGTGCTTTTCCATATGAAAATGCCCTTAAAAGTTTAAAAGAAACACTTCGTTCTAGTTTCTTGCCTTTAGAGCAAATTGTGAAGAGGGATTCTGAAAGAGCACAGCAACCAAGAGGTTGAAAGATAGGGGGAGGG